TGTAATTTAATAAATGTAAGATAGAGCTGTTGGATCTCACACTCCAAGCAGAGCAATGACATATCCATAGAAACAAAATGGTGACGGACCCCCAACCAAAAAGTTACACAGTGTACCTTTTAATCAGTTGTTGCTTCTCAAAATGTTTGCGTTTTGCTGGAGTTAGTGTAGAGTATAAAAGTTCAAGACAAAGGTTGAAATGACTATTACCACACTATTTGATTGCTTCTCAGTTTTAAACGCTGCAGCTCTTAAACCACTGGCCCTATCACACGTCTATTTCCATTGAATTAGTTGTAAAATATCTGAGCCAGTCTCTCCGCTACGGCTGTTGACTGGATAAAGAGAGGAAAGATCAAGCAGAAAATCTCCTCTCAAACCGTCAGCGCTGTGTTGTACATGAGCGCACCACATTTCCACCAGGAATGTAAATGGTCTTTTAATTTGTTCATTAACAGGGCTCTTTGTTCATGCATAAAAGATAATAATTAAAGTAATAATCAGCAACATTTTCGTACAATTAAATATTCATTTTCCTGCTGTTTTTTGCCACTTGGTACTTTGCTGTAGAGATACAACACTTGTTTAAAAATTAGCTCAGTATAACCTAATAATGCAGTAATTTGGCTGCGTCTAGTCTACGTTCCAGATGGCACCAGCCAATTTTATGAAGCCTATCAGAACTACGGGGGCCTTGCAGGGACATTATGTGAACAAAACGAAAATGCTGAGTAGTAGTCATTTTCAAAATCGTGTGAGCTAAGAAAGTACCATCTTTTTAGTTGGAATGTCTCTGTAATATTATATTTGCATATGTTTAAGTTCAAATAAAATAGGCCCAATATAAGCAGCACAATAACTTTGGCAAATATTAGGGAAGGAGCTTGATGTTTGTATTTGGGGATTATGAGCATTCTAAGACTAAGACTAAGTTTTAGTTCCAATTGAAACTGCAGTTAAATCTTAACAAACAAAGCAATCCTGCCTAAAGGAACTGAAAACCAGACCAGTGTTCTGTTGAAAGTCATTTATCATGAATCATCCACAAATAGTTTCTGTCACAAATCTGGAAATAGACTTAGGCTACGTTTATATGATGATGGTCTGAACAGAAGATGCAAAAGTGGCATTGCGTCTTCACTTTTTATTCTGCATTTAGACGAGCATTTTCTGGAGGAAATCTGCATGCATACAGTGATACAAAAGTGTGTGGAATTTGATTGGGTATGCTTTTACTTAAAGCTAAAGCAACAAGGGCATCTTTGGACATACGGAAGTTTTCACAGCATGCATTTTCATCAGCTACTCCTTCCACAAAGTTGTCCCACCATCAACTGGTTCTCCCAGGTCTCGACCATAGCTGTCTCTGGCTCGCCTGAGACCAACTGGTGCATCCAGAATTTGACCGAGGTGATTGCAGATCCTTCTCTGTTCAATAATAGTATCTATGCATATTCTGTACATTTGTTGGTATGCCTCCCGTAAGTTTTTTAGTCCGACACATGGAAATGATCTGACACGTTTGTTTCTGTGTACTGTATGTATGTGACGTAGACGCGTGCACCACGTGAGCAGATCTGACCAGCGTATTGGGCAGTGTAGACAGAAACCCTATGGCAGAGCGTAGTCAACTTTTTCACTCTGGAGGGTGGTTTCAGATTTTTGCATTTTTAATCCCCAAAAATGACATTGCCGTCTAAACAAAAGGCACTTATAAAATATTTTGTCGTTTTTACCCACAAGTGTTCTCGTGTAAACAGGCCCTGAATTTATGATACATTTATATTAGTGTATAGGTCTATGATCTCAGTGTACTGCAGCAAGAATCTTGAGAGTAAACTCCTCTGTTCGAATGCAATAAAGACCAGATGAACTGCCTGGCAATGTTTTTGTCAGTCCAGTCCCAGCTTTCTTTCAAATGTGCGGAAGACCGCTCTTCTTAAAGTCCTCCTATGGCAAAGAAGAAATTCAGTCTGTCAACTGAACATATGTTTATTTAGGTGGAAAATTTCTCATCCAAGCTGCTTCTTCAGTTCTGGTCAGATTGCTGGTGGACACTGCCTTATATCTGCCTGAAGGGAGGAGCTAACTACACTGAAACTACTCTGAAACTAACACCCTACTTGTTTTGTTTGTTAGCTAGGTCTGTTCATCTGTACTGAGTGTGGGGTCCTCCTATGATACTGTTTAAAATACAGGGAAAGCATGTTATTGTTACAGCTGGTCAATACCTCCAACATCTGCAGTCAATCATGAATCAGTGCTAGTGCAGCCTCTGCAGATCAGTGAGTCAATTCTGTAGGTTCTGAGCTTTCACATGTGGCATGGCCTGTCCATATATTCAGGATTAATAAAACTTGTATGTGTCCTTTGTATGTAGGTTAATGCACTGGCAACCCAGGTTCAACTGTGATTGTAATAATTAATTTATCTATAAGAGTGAAGGCTTCTTAACAGACAGAAATTGGCACCTTCCTTTCATCTGGTGTAGTTACTGTAAGTGCAGCTCATCAAAATGCGCTGTCCCCATCTCATACAAAATGAAACAATTAAATCAGCAGTACATCTGAAATGTCAGCAGATAAAGTAATGACATCTCTGACTACATCCTCCAAAACAAAACCTGTTTTATAGAGAGGTAGCTGTTATATCATGCTTTTTTCATCTTCAGTTTACTGTACTCATCCACATGTCTATCTAAAATCCTCCACAGCCTGAAAGCATCAGACCAGCTCCGCGTCATTGCCGGGTGTCTCCTCTCTCTGACTCACTCCTTTTACCTTTTTGTTTGATTGATATTTTTAGCTGCTTCGCTCTGCTGCTAAAACCATTCTTTTGTCCTTCACTTCTCAGCGTGGGAACTCCTGTGCAATCCATCTCTCTCTCTCTTTCCTGCCTCTTTTCATTTTCAAAAGCACGCACTCCTTCCGAAAAGCTAGTAAACGCAGCACAGCCAGACCCATTTGGACCATATTGATTTGATTTATAAGAAGTCATTGGCCATGTCACTCTGGCGTAGCGCGGGAGTCTAGTTAAAAGCGTTGAAAATTCAGCCGTAGCTCTTTGGACAAAATCTATAAAGCTTTCACAAACACAAAGGTAAGGCTGTCTGCAGAGAGATATAGCCAACACTGAAGCACAGATCAGGTAAGTACATGTGTAAAATGAATGGGGAGCTCAGGCATGCGCCGCTTGTTCTGAGGAGACGGAGCTCTATCATGGAGTGTTTTACAAAAGGCTAACATCAACACAAAATAGATGTTTAGCTAAAGATCACGTACAGTCTATAAAAACACAAGAGTGCAATCTATAGAGATGAGTGGAAAATACCTGACACATGATACGATATGGCGATAATCAGCATATTGCACATGATACTCTGTGATATGTTGATGTTTTTGTAAAGTGCACTGTGTAACTTTCCTGGTGGAGGGTCCATCACCTGCTTGTCTCCATGGAGATGTTATTTTTTTTGTCTGGAATGTCTCAGTATGGCATTGAACGTATCCATCTTGTATTTACTAAATAAAATGTTTTTTTATTGACCCAATAACATGCAGTCTTACTGTGAGTGGGCTCGCCTCTCCACAGATCTGACATTTAACTTGGCCCTGTGCTGTCACCTGCTGTGTGAGATAAATAAGTGTAATGCCATACTGTGAAACATTCCAGGCAATATCTTAAAGGACAGAAGTAGGTATCCCAGAAATAGGTGACCCTCCACCTCTAAAAGTTACATGGTGCACCTTTAAGAACATTTTAGCAACTATATAACTTCTTTGTTAAACCACTACCTGCACAAAGTTGGCATGAAATACATCATTATTGCAAATGTATTGCATAAACAAGTTTGCTTTCACTAAATAAGCAACAAAATTGTAGTGCGGTTACAATAAAGTTGCTAAAAGATACCAAAAAATACTCTTGTATACAGTATTACCAAATTTAGTATCACGATATATTGATATTTCAGTATTTTTGCACACCCCTAGTAGAATGTAGACCTGGTTTCAAGCTTCAGCTTCCTTCACACTCGCTCCTTTGTCCTGTTAAAATGTTTTTCATGTTAATGTAAGAAAACATCACACATTTTTGGTTCAGTCCCCTCTGAAAGCTTTATTGTGTTCCTCTGTGAGACACGCCCACTTTGTTGTGATTGTTGGCACCCTTGTTTCCTTTGAGTGAAGATCTAATAAATGATTTTACAAACTGTAAATTATTGTATTATGTTTTGTCCTTTACGAACTTGACAAGCCTCTCAAAGCTCTACACTGTAATCATGAGTCTATCACTCCATGTTCTGTGGTGGTAAGTTTCTGTAGCCACAGCTGCCCTGGCACAGGCTTTTTCTCTGTTTAAAGCAGCTGTGTGTTCAAACACAGACACTTTCTCCCACCCACTTCTCCTGTTGTTTAGTTGCTGTGGGGCTTTGAGTGAGTGACAGATGGATTTAATTAATCACAGTGTGAACTTTCAGAAGAAGCTGATTATTTTATTCACCTCTTAAATGCACATTTATTATGCACATTTATTGTGATAATATCAAAAATGGGATCTGGCTCCAAGAAAATTGTGATATTCATGTTTTGTCATATTGCCAGTTTTTACATTTGCACCCTGTGTTAATAGATCTTATAACTTTCTCTAGACACTATTTAACTATGTAAATTTCTGAAAGTGCCACATCACATGTGTTTCAATGGAAATAGAAAGTAAAACCATACTTTGGAATATGGATATTGGTAAGTTCTACGCCATACTGTGGAAGAGTATCGTCAAAGGAACAACATTCTCGAAAACAAGCAGGAGGTCAAAAAAGGAGTCAGGTTTGTAGACATGCAAGCCTCCTCACAGTAAGGGCACGTATCATATTTTTCACTGCAATCAACACAAACAAGCCTGCTTTTATTTAAAAAAACTTACAAACTGTGGCTTTAAAGGTTAACACTTTGCACAAATCACACACTCATTTACTTATTTCTTCTATTTCTTACTTCCAGTGCTCCTGTCCGCCCGCGCCAATGCCCAGACCCCCGTGGACATCTCCTTCCAGAGAGACCCGGTGCAGGTCCAGACTGGCGGTGGGATCCAGTTCACCGTCATCACCGTGCCCAACGTCTTCACCATGACGTGGCTATACCAGAGCGGAGCTACTCTGGGGCTGTGGGTGAACAACGCCCCCGTTGTCAACGATGTGCCACAGTTCCAGGGCAGAGTCACCATCACCGCCACCACGCTGCAGATCAGGAGCGCTGTCCTGACAGACGCCGGGCAGTACACGGTGGAAGTGGACCCAGCGGTCAGCACAGGACTGGGGAAAAACTCCAAGTCGGTCACTCTCCAAGTGTACGGTGAGTGATTTTGTGGAGTTTATTTTTGTATTCATGAGATTTTGTTAAGTATATGGGAATTAGTAAGAGTTGTGTTTAAAAAGAAAAAGAAAAGCATTTGACGGATTCTCCACCAGAAAAGTTACACAAAGCACCTTTAAGCCAATTCAGAATGATTTTGCCTCATCAAAAACATAACTGGATTTGTGTTTTGTTTGATATAAAGAAGAAACAAAAATAATAAAGTTGTCCCAAACTTTTGACTAGTAGTGTTTATGTAAGTATTGGTTTGTTTATTATTAGTACTGGTTTATTTATTTAATTATGTGCACAGATTACATTGATCTCAAACAGAAGAGATGTTCTGTGCCAGACTTGGGGCAGGTTTAGCCAGAAGACTTTAAAAAACATTTGAACCTAAATTTTAACACACATTTGTCCGTTGTGTTGTTAAATTTTAGTATTACAGTGGATTTAACGATAAGAACAGATCATTCTCTTTTTATCCAATCTTACTTTAAATCACAAGCCTAAAGTAAATATCTCCTGTGAGTCTTTATTATGACCAATTTGAGCCACACCCGTAAAAATAACACTTCAATCATAACACGTCTCACCCACGGGCGTGTGCACAAAATTCTGGCAAAGGTTAATTTATTACCTAGAATCTGAATGCATTTAATTGAATTGATTTCATTATTGTGTGTTGCATATAAATATACACATTCACAGGCTCATGAGACTACATGAACACAATCCAATGGGCCAGTTGGCACACATGCATTTAAACCATTACTAATACACATGGACTCATTTAAAGGTGTACTGTGTAACTTTTCTGGTGGAGGATCTTGTTTCTATGGATATGTCATTGCTCTGCTTAGAATGTTCCACAGTATGACATTAAACAACTCTACCTTATATTTATTACATTTTATAATTTTGTAGCTCAAATATACCTACAAAAACAGGCATTCTGACTGTGAGTAGGGTTGTCTGTCCACAGATCTCGCCTGTAACTTGGTCTAGGTGGTGTCCATGAAGATAGAAATGTTTAGACTTAGACTTAGACAAACTTTGTTAATCCACAAGGGAAGTTATTTGGACAAAGTAGCTCACACATCACAATATATTATAATAATAAAGAGCAAAAATATAGATGGTAATAATACATTTTAAATAAGTAGCAAAAAAAGAGCAAGAGACTGGTGTCAAATAAGACATAATTATATACATGTAAATGTACAAGTCAAAATAAAATAGAAAGATAAGTAATATAATATAAAATCACAGCCTTATACAAGTGGTCAAAGGATAGTGCAACAATGATATGGCAAATAAAAAAAAAAAAAAAAAAAAGATTTAATACCATACTGTGAAACATTCCAGAGAAAGCAATAACATCTACATTTGCTTTGGACCTTCCACCAGAAAAGTTACACAATGCACCTTTGAACAAACAAAATCTTCTGCTTCTTCCAGGCTTTACAGATAAATGATGCCAACTTCTAAACATTTTGTCATCGTCATTACACCAAAACACATCAGGACACTGCGTAAATCTTTAATCAAACAAATGATTTCAAATTCACAATAAAACGGACAATACAACAAAAAATGAGCATCATTTCTCCCAACTCACATAAACCACAGAGTCTGTTTTCCTCTGGGTTTGAGAAATCCTCCGAGTTTCCCTGAATAAATGACTTTATTTGATGATCCATAATCACATTTTTGAATTGCAGTGTTTAAACATTCAGATTCATTTCACATTTACAAGAAAAATAAACGCCACCAAGGACTTTCTATTAGCTTTTTGTGATGTGGATCTGGAACACTTAGTGGCCAGGAACAACTATTAAAATTATTCTGTACTTTTTTCTTGGTCACAAGGGGGCAGCAAAAGAATTGATGATTACTTTTGAATGATTAGAGTGGCATTTCATTGAGGCCTCTTTTGTCAGAATCCTTCAGGTTATACAAGAAATTGTAGTGTTTTTATAATAGTGTACTAGTGTTTTTTAATTGATCTTTAAACTATTTTATATATATAAACAAATGTAATTTCTTTGATACACAATTCCATATATCTTAGTTCATAGATGACAGATAGATAGATAGATAGATACATTTAAAGGTCTTATTTTATGCAGAATTAACTCATGTGAGCTTTAAGCCATGTTACCTCCTTCAAGACATAGATGCAGTTGTGTTTTCTTTCAATCATACATGTTTCAGTATTCCATCTTCAAATCTCAATATTTGAGATTTGTGATGTCATGTAGTTGTAGTTTTCAAGCTAAAAGCAACATTTTACCTTTTAGTTCAGTACAGATTGGCAATTCCAGAGCTGAAATCCTTCAGTTGATTCCAGTGAAAGTGTATGAAGTTTAAAAACAGAGTGGAGCACTTCCTGTATTACCAAATGACATCACAAGGTAGAACATGGTGTTTTTCTTTTTGAGAAAGAACTCATCCTGATTGTGTGTTTAAACATGTGTGAATAGCAACAGAAACATATATTCAAATTAATTAAATCTGATCAAACAGGTTTTATACCAGGAAGACAGTGAGCTAAGAATATCAGACAAACACTAAATCTCATTTCATGTGCTAAGACAAGTTCAAATATAAATATATTGCTGAGATTAAATGCACAAAAAGCTTTTGATTATGTGAAATAGAAATATTTATACCACATGCTGTCAGTGTTTGGATTTCACCCAGTGCTCATAAACTGGGTTAAATTTATTTATGACAATCAAAAATTTAGAACTAGAGTGAATGGATGTTGCTCAGACTTTTTCTCTTTGAAAAGAAGTGTCAAGCAAAGGAGAATTCTTAAGTCCACTATTATTTGCTTTAAGTATAGAACCTCTAGCTGAATATATTAGACAAAATGCAAATATTAAGGGAATTCGGGATGAAGAAGGTATAGAATCAAAAATGTCATTGTTTGCTGATGATATTCTTATGTATTTAAGTGACCGGCTATAACACTCCCAACATTGAATAACATTGTGACTGAATATGGGGAAATTTCCAGTTATGGAATTAATTAATTTAAGTCAGTGTGAGTATATCAGGTACATATTCCTCTGACACAAAAGAGAAGGTTAAATTCAAATAGACTGATGAGGGCTTTAGATATTTGGGCATTAATATTACTAAGAACACATGATAAAGTTATAAAAGAAATGAAGCGCAGATTTGAAATTATGGGAAATCCTCCCGTTTACTTTAATGGGTCAAATAGAAGTAATTAGAATGAATGTTTTGCCCAAATTGCTGTTTTTGTTCCAATCCCTACAAAAATAGATAAACTCATATTAATTTTGTTTTTTTTAATGGAGAAATCAAAAACCAAGTATTCGGTACAAGCTACTTCAGAGCTCTAAAGAAATAGGTGGACTAAACTTACCAATTATTAAAAAAATACTATTGGGCATCACAACTAAGAGGCCTAAAAGTATAGACTGATAAGGATGATGAGACAGGATGCAGGGAAATGGAACAAACCTCATGCCCTAAGGTACCCCTAGAATCCTTTTCTTACAAAAAAAATTACAAAATTATTTAAAAATCTAAAATGAATGGGGTGTTTTTGATGAGGAAACAACATTATATCAGAAAATAGCGTAATATGAACACTTTAACATGTACAAAGCAGTAAAAATCAAGAAAAAAAGAAAACACTGAATGAGGATGCGTATGTAAACTTTACACTGGTGCATAAAATCCCTTAGCGTGAGCATAGCCTGAATAATCCTCTAATTTAAATAAATGTGCATTTCTATAACTCACACATTGTCTTCGCCTGCATTGCTTCAGCTCCTTATATGATGAATGAGCGTTATGCCAATGCCAACGGGGGACAGACGGGCGCGGGGACAGAGGAGGGAGGAGCCAGTTTCGGGAGTTTGAGGATTAGCCCGGGAGGCGTAATGAAATTAGTGACCCCTAGTTTAGCCACACGCAAAATTAATGGAAAAGAAGTAGGTACTAGTTTGCGTTTTATGCTAATTACACCTGATTGGCCAGGCGCCGTCTGTTCTCCCTCTTGTTTGATATTGTTCCGCTTGAAAATGTAGGGCTGCATTTCCATATATACAGCGTCTGCATTCATTTACATATGTCCTGTATAGTAATGGGGGCTCTTCGTTTAGCGGCCCACGCGTTGCCAGGTTAACGCACAGACTTTTATAATTTGCATTGTTAGAAGCTTCACTGCTCATTACAGCCTAAAAGGTGAGTAGTTAACAGTTATTTTACGCCGTGTAAGAGCAGGGTCCTTAAGCTCGACTATCAGCTCCCTAACCTCCCACTTAAGCGCTCAAGTTCAAATCCAAGCTGTGAGATGCTCAAAGTAGATTCTGTAAGATACTGTATGTCTCCTGTAAGCGCATGCTAAAAGAGCTTCTTGGTAGCTATATATATATAGTCTAGTGTATTTAGTTAGTAGTAATAGTAGTAGTACTCTTGTTAGTTTAGTATGGTTTGAAGAAATGGTAGTTGACAAACCTTTATGTTGACAATTGGGTATGCACAGATCCAGCTTCTTCTGCTTATTTATGTATTTGAATGGGACAGTGCGTTTTAATTAATATACATGATACAACATGAATGTAATTATTGCCAAAAGCTGATTTCCATCCATGGTCCCAAAGACCAAGCCTGATTGATCAGCTAGTTTCACTTCGTGGAAGCCGTCTGACCTCGCAGCATTAGGATTCGTTCTCTCAGCAGTAGGCGGGTACTTTTTTATTTAACTAATCGCTGCTATTTGGTCGTGATGTATGTAATGCACTAAAACCTGTATGAAAAGGGTAATAACATTTTTCCCCGTGATAAAATTGAGCGATCATTCTCTTTGTTCCGGTTTTAAATTGTCGATCTCAGGAATCATTGCCAACACAGAATGTACGGCTTTGCCTACATCCATCTTGACCTCTTTGTTCACTGTTGTGCTGTACCACAAAAGGGACACAGACAGGCGCTTGAGTTTGATATCATGGCTTCACAGCTCTTCGCTGATTGGCCGGTGTGCGGTTTACAAATTCTGAGGTTCTTGTAAACAATCTAGTGTATTCAGATTCCTGACCTAGTCACTGGAGAGAAATTAAATTGAGCAGAGGCACTAGGTGGCGCCAGTCTGGTTACCAAAGAACTGGCTTCTGTTCAAATACTGATATCGATACTTTGGCTTTAAGTTTCAGTACAGTACAGTACGGTACAGCATTTATTTTCTTTAAAAACACAAAGAGCTTACAGTAAAAAAAACGTTTGTAACTGTTTTTCATTATTTAAAGTAACTACAGAAGAGCTTTGTAAAAATGCAAGTTTAATATTTAACATTTTGGGTCAAATTGTCTTATTACGACAGTTTAACAGATATTCCCATCAAAATCAACTGAACCAATATCTATAATAACTAAAATAGATATCAATTTGTTTTCTTATTATTATTTGTGGTCTTTGTGAATACACAAATCTGGGCATACTTTAATCTCGGAACATCTGTTTTCAAATCATAAATCAACAGTTACTCAGTAGTTTACTCGAATAGAATTGTTGCCAATGCCTGTTAAACTAAGTACTTTTACTTCTTCTGAGTAAAATAATTTTATTACTATTTTATATAATTACATATTACTCATTTATGATGACATATTTAGTATATTAAATACTCACTATATTGACTTATTGTTGAATATGAAAGCTAGTACAGTTTTTTTTTAGCTCAGTACTTATTGTGGGTACATTTTCACTACTGGGGAATTTGTGATTATTTTTTGGCTAAATGTTAGATGTAAAAGGTTGAATTAAAAATTAATCATTACAGATGCTAACAAAGTATACTGTATATTTCACATTTAGAATAGTTTTTGTGGTTTAAATCTGATCTTGGTTTATTTGTGTCAGTGGTTTAAATTAGTTTCAGTGTTTATTGTCTATATTAACTTAACAGCAATATATCAAACTTCAAAATTTGTTATCATGACAGGCTTACTTTATCTTCTTTTCCATATGTTGTTTTTCTGTAGATGCGAACATTGTGGATATCTTGGCGCCTGCCTCCTCTCCTCTCCTTGTGTAATTATTTAACTTAGGCCGAGCGCCAAGAGCCATAGCAGTTCCCTCTTGTGCGCTCTGCCCTTATAGTGTCCATCTGTGCCTCTGTCCCAGCCCCTCACGCTCAGCTCTCACTCGCTTTGATTAGAGCAAATTAGCCTCAGCAGAAACATCAAAATGGCCCGCGTTATTCTGTCACTTCACATTCCAGAGAGGACTTGACCACGCACGCTCTCGCACGCTAAAGTGCTCCATAAAGAGGTGCATATATTCACTCTTTTTAGTTAGCAGATGTCTAATGTTGGAGTTTTATGCACTTGTACCTTACTGTGAAGAGAAAATAAATGCAAGGTTTGGAAGTATTGAACTAACTTGAACTCCTACTTGTTACAGTATACCTTTGTGTATATCACAAGTTTAGTTTATTTATTTATTTATTTTACAGGGATAACGTACATGAGCATTAATCAAAGAAACTGGGAAAAACTTGGAGCTAATTTTTATCTGCAATCCCTGAGACATACACAATACAGAATACTCAAATAGTATGAAACAATGCAATCAATTTACAAACAATTCAATTAAATAGGTTAATCCCCCTCCCACACTACTCCTCTGTACCCTCAAACAAATAGATCATTTAGGTGTAATTTTTGAAAAGAGCAAAATTTATATTTTCAAGATGCTTCTGCCATCTATAGAAGACTGCAGTTTAACCTTTTTCACTATTTTATTGATTTCTCTTGAATGAATGATCTGACCTTTACAATAGTAATAGTGTTATCGCAAATACTTTTTATAGATATTGTCTTATTGACTCATTGTTCATAGGACCGCAGTGATCAGATCTGTGAATCAGAATAATTGGGACTAGTTGGCTATTAAATTAAAAGTGTAATATTTAAATCATTGTTAATTCTTGTCTGGACTATTATTCTCATAATACTAACATTTATGATAAGAATAGACTCGATACTCAATACCAATTTTGATCCCCAGCTGATCATTTTAAAAGTACATTTTTTAAAAGACAATATTGTAATTTTCAACACAAAATAATACTGTTTTATGTCATGTGGTCTTACCTTAATAAACTGTTCAGGAACGGTCAAACTGAATCCACTTATGTGATATTTTTTTCAGCATCTAGTTTTGACACAAGTTTTGGTTTGGATTTGTATTTGATTTTAAATACATTTGACAACACTAATCAGGGCTATACAGACTCTAAAACATGTTCTGAAAGATGTCTTTATAACAAAGACAGTGGCCTTACTAAAACACTGACTAGATAACTAGTAAAATAACCTAGATGTTAATTGCAGTCCTATTCATATTGACCTCTATTATTGGATTCTAGCGCAAATGTCAATTCTGTTTACTCTTCTACATGTGAAATAAATTTATCTGATTTCTACTGAACTAAAGCTAAAAGGTAGCTGTTAACTTGAAAACTACCAATACATGACCTCATGAGGTGGAACAGAGCATTTTGAGCTTTGGAGATGTAGACAGACTAATAATAAAGGACTACTCAAATATGCGAATGAAACAAAACACAACTCCAGGTATGTTTTTGTGGTTTAAATGGCCTAAAGCTCACAGGAGTAAATTTTGCTGAATATAGTACCTTTAATCACTCCACCTCTTTCCCCCACAGATCCAGTGACGGGTGTGAACCTCTACGTGCCCCCGGTGGCCATAGAAGGGAAGAACATCTCTCTGACCTGCACGTATCAGTCTGGCACAGAGGTCACATTCCTCTGGACCAAAGGTGACACCACTCTGGCCTCCAGCTCCAGGATCACCATCTCAGGAGGCTCTCTGATCATCAACCCAGGAGAGCGCGCTGACGCTGGGGAATATACCTGCACTGTCAGTAACCCTGTCAGCTCCAGCTCCGCCAAGCAGACCCTCACCGTGTACTGTGAGTCTACTACATCTACCTCTTAATCAGTATTTTAATAGACCACTAGTCCAGTTATTATTTTCAGTAGTCAATGATTAAAATTATATTCTATTGTGTTTTAAAGATGTATAAAAAGAAAGTTTTGTTAAATTAATGTGTTGATTGTAGTATTTTAAAGGTCCTGCATTACACAGACGAATATCAGAATGTTACCTCCCCACAAACCTTCCTGGAGTTATGATTTGTTCCATTTATTTCCACATATTTGAGTAACCCTTTATTATTAGTCTTTCTACATCTCAAAAGCTCAAAACGCTCCGTTCCACCTTGTGATGTTATGTAGTGGTAGTTTTCAAGCTAACAGCTACATGTTGCCTTTTAATTCAGTAGAGAGAGGCAATTCCAGGGCTGAAATTATCCAAATGATTCTAGTGAAGGTGCCCGAGTTTAAAAAACACAGTGGAGCACGTTCTGTATTACAACATGACATCACATAGTGGAACAAAGTGTTTCCTGTTTGAGAGAAAAACACAGACTACATATGCAGGGTTTTTGTGTTAAACATGTGTGAATGAAACAAAACACAACTGCAGGTATGTTTGTGATGAGGAAACGACATTATAACCTAGATCAGAAAATAGCGTAATATGGGCCCTTTAATGATTAATCAGAATCGTTGTAATAAGTAATTAGTATTGTTATAATTATATTTTAATCATTGTTATAGTTATCTGTAGGGGTGCACCGATACAATACTGGTATCAGATATCACGCCTTGTTTCGATACTAGTTTTAGTGTCAATTAGTACATTGACAATCTTAGACACAAGGGGAATTATTTGGACAAAGTAGCAAATCACAATATATTATAAATAACAAAGAGTAAAAATACAATAAATTCAAAATAAGTAGCAAAAATGGCAGGAGACTGGTGTCAAATAAGGCACAATTATACAAATGTATATGAACAAGTATAAATGATATATAGAAATATAGTAATACAAATATATCTCAGCTATATACATGAGGTGGGTAAGGAGAAAAACAGTAGAAATATTTAATAATGACATGCATGACACAGGGTTATCTGAGTATTATCTGTTCCATAAGGGTGAGTTGTTGTACAGTTGTAGGGAGTATTATCTGTTCCATAAGGGTGAGTTGTTGTACAGTTGTAGGGAGTATTATAAGAATGTAGTCCTCTATCTCTCAGTGTTTGAGCAGGGCTTGTCAATAGTCGTACAGTCTTTATTCAGATTGTTGGTGGGATCCAGATTTGCCGCTGTTAATCTGGTGTAGCCACTAAAAACCCCACTATCTTATCTTCTTATCGTCGCTGCAAAGCTCTGATGAACTGCACCATGTTATTTCTTCCGCTAAGCTCATAGGGCCTGTCTCTTTGTCTCCATCACACTCCTAATCCTGACAGCGCAGTCCTGAAGTGACCCCATAACCTGCTGTCTGCTGTGTGCAATATCTATGCCATTTAAAGATGCACTGTGTAACTTTTTGGTTTAGGGCCCGTCACCTGCTTGTTTCTATGGATATGTCATTGCGCTACCTGGAATTTTCCACAGTATGACATTAAGGCTACAGTATGTTTATATGTGATGACGGTCTGAACAGAAGACACAAAAGTGGCGTTTTTATTTTGTGTTTAGATGAGCGTTTTCAGAAGGAAATCTACAAGCATACGATGATGCAAAAGTGAGTGGAATTCGATTGGGTATGCATGCCAGGTGGCTAGGTGGTGACACTAGGTTGTGTTGTATGTGACGTAAACGTGTACATAACGTGAGCAGATCTGACCAGAGTTTTGCGTCTTGGGCAGTGTAGACAGAAACGCTATGGCAGAGCGTATTCAACTTTTCAAGATTCAAGATTTTTGCGTTTTTAAGCCCCAGAAACGTCTAAACAAAAGGCACTTCTGCTAAAATATTTTGTCATTTTTACCCGCAAGCGTTCTCGTGTAAACAGGCCCTAAAGGTGCATTGTGTAACTTTTCTGGTGGATTGTCTGTCAAATGCTTTTAAAAGTGGTTTTATTTCTCAAAAATGCCTAGAAAAAAGGTTTTCTGACTGTGAGCGGGGTTGCCTCTTCACAGATCTGACCTGTAGCTTTGTCTGGTTTGGTCTCCATAAAGATTGAAAGGTTAAGGTCATACTATCAAACATTCCAGCGAAAGCGATAACGTCTCCATGGAGAAAATCACTTGACGGAGTCTCCACTCTCCACAATGCACCTTTTAACACAGCTTATGACACGCAGTTACAAATATGTGCTTGTAGACCTTGAGCATGGCAGTTTTCCATAGTCATTGGATTTAATTGAGTTTTTGCACACATTCTGAATGAGGCTAATTAAAAAAAGTAATATATTAATTTGCAGCCATGAATTAATCTCGAACTTTTCCAATTAAAGCTGCAATAGGCACAAATATCACAGACAATGGCAGTGTATGACAGCAGAGGGCATTTCCATAACCAGCTCTCATTTCCATATTTTAAATGTAGAACAATGCCTCCTGCTGGTTAGAAGTTCAAAATGTCACCAAACTGGATAGTTGATTAGAATGAATCATAAAAAATTCAAACTAAGAAATATTCAGCTCATATCACGGAGAACCAGAGCAGTTACATTTGCAAATGTACAAAAGCACTTAAGCTGTGAGAGTGTAGACTGATAACAACTGTCATAATTACATTTACTCCAATGAAGCAACAGAAAGAAGAGTGACTCTCAACAGTATTTTACAATATTCGTTTTGTATAAAAACAAGGAATGATTATAAGATCATAAAATATTCAAAAAATATCTTGACAGTAATGTGTTAGTGCAATAAAACGTGTTTGCAGTGGCATCTTAGCCCATTTTTGATGAATTACGAAATCATAATCTGAAGGTTATTAAAAATTTAGACATTCAGTTTTGAAAGCAGTTTGAATGCAGTTCATTAAAATACACACATAAACAACTGAACTTAACTGAACTTTCTTTAAATATAATGGTAATATATAGTTTTTAAATGCCTTATTGGCACAAATCTTAACGGAGATGTTAGTGTTTTACCTGGAATGTTTCACTATATGGTATTAAACCTCCATCCATCCATCCATTTTCGTCCGCTTATCCGGGGCCGGGTCGCGGGGAGCAGCCTAAGCAGGGACTCCCAGACTTCCTTCACCCCAGACACGTCCTCGAGCTCCTCCGGGGGGACCCCGAGGCGTTCCCAGGCCAGCCGAGAGACATAGTAGCGTGTCCTGGGTCTTACCCGGGGCCTTCCCGGCGGGACATGCCCGGAACACCTCCCGAGGAGGCGCCCAGGAGGCATCCGGAACAGATGCCCCAGCCACCTTGGCTTCTCGACGTGGAGGAGCAGCGGCTTACTCCGAGCTCCTCCCGTACTGAGCTTCACCCTATCTCTAAGAGCGCCCAGCCACCCTGCGGAGGAAACTCATTTCGAGTGCTTGTATCCGCGATCTCGTCCTTTCGGTCACTACCCAGAGCTCTTGACCATAGGTGAGAGTAGGTCATGGTCATGGTCATGGTATTAAACCTATTCGCATGTATTAAATTACATGTGTTTTTATTGTTTACATTTATACCTTGTCAGTACTTTGAAAATACATGTTGAAAAACGCAGTGTTAATGCCATACATCCCAATTGTTCACTATATGAACACCATGTGGTAGAAGGGACTGCCATCCCCTCCACAAAAGTTATAATGTGCGCCTGTAAACAACGCATACATAATATATATTTGAGCATTACTAGTGTCTTTACTGATGGGGCCAGTTTTAGTCTCTTTATCACCATTTCTTTCACTTCAACAGCCTTTCCACTCCAAATACTGAAACATCACTTTATTAAACTTGAGTGTTTTTGTGTCTGTCTTGTAAATAAATAAATAAATACTCTGTGTAAGTTTACCCCTCTCTCCCTTTTCAGACGGCCCTGACACCCCAGTACTGACAAAGGACACAACCAAAGACTGTGTGGGTGCTGGGGACGTGTGGGCGGGTAAGACCATCACACTGACCTGCACCGCCTCCTCCCTGCCCCGGGCTCAGTTCTCCTGGCAGTTCGATGGACAGGCCATTAGCAGCCCAGACACCGGTCAGCTCATCCTCCAGACCTCCTCCACCAGCCAGAGCGGCAGATACGCCTGCACTGCCAGGAACTCCGTCACCGGACTCACCTCGGAGCAGGCCACAGATCTGGTGGTGACCGGTGAGTCCTGTGGAGGGGGATGTATGGGGAGAGGGGGGAGTTCACAAGTTTGGGCAGAGTAAAGTTTCTAAAGTTTGTGCATTCAGGCTGGCTTCTGTCACTATTTCTATTACTCTTTTTATTGTCCTGTTGTTTTTCAAATAGTATTTGAACAATGTGACCTCAGGTAACATCTGGTTTAATTTATTTCAGTTTATCTCTATATATTGAATCTGTATTCTCAGTATTTCCATCACCATGCTCAGGGACTACCAGTGTAAATTAGCAATGCTATAACCTGGCACCAGCATCTTTCCTATGTCTTTTATTTTGGTGAATATATTGTTGTGCACTGTTCCTGTACAAATTAAAACTATATCATTTTGCTATAAATATTCTACTGTCACAGACTATGATGAGCAACTAGTACTTCTTTGAATAGTACTTTTTCAGCTACTTGTACTAATACAACAACAGGCAATTAATACTTCTTCTACTTTTTACACTATAACTATTTCTACTACGAACTACTACGACGACTACTACTACTACTACTACTACTATTACTACTACTACCACTACAACCACCACCACCATCACTACTACTACCACCACCATGACTACTACGACTACTACGACTACCACTACTACCACTTCTATTACTACAACTACAACTACTACTACCACTAAAACAACAACAACTACTACTACTACTACTACTACTAGTACTACTGCTAGTGCTAGTGCTTCTGCTACTGCTACTGCGAGTACAACAAAGTAATACATGCTTCCAACTTTGAATACTACTTCTAGTGTATCCTATTTTCAAATCTATCCATTTATTACTTTTTTTTTTTCTAAGTATGATATATTGATGATAGTTGTATCTTTTTATATTTTCTTTTACACCAAATTCACTTGCGTATATAATGTTCCAGATTCTCTGTCTACTTTCAAAATTGTCTGAAGAATGTTCTTTAGTTGACTAGAGCCCTAATCCTAACCCTGCTAGCACAACCAGCCCTCTCAGAAGACACTGTTGGTCGGTTATGCAGCAGTGAGTGATGGGCTGACTGACCTTTGCGTGACCAGTAATGATGGCAGTTGGTTTTGGACGCGCTCCTGAATCCGTCTCGTTGACAGCAGAGGGACGCGGTTTCCATGGAGAGATGGATCTGCTCCCGATGTGTTCAAAGTCACTCAGGGACGATCACTCCAGCTTCTGCTCTCATTTGGACTGAAGATCTGTCCAATTACTTTATCATCATTTTAAAGGCTGTCCTCCTCTATCTTTGTCCTGACCAGACTTGTCATTATTATTCACTTTTATATGGTTTAATCACATCTTTGTATTTCAGATGTGTGCCTGGATGTAGGAGAGGTCGTAGGGGTCGTCATTGGCTCCTTCATCTTGCTGATATTACTCATCATCCTCATAATTCTTCTAATCAGATACATACTAGGTAAGTGCTGCAGTGATGGAAGAAGTACTTGTTGTTACTTACAGTAAAGGTGCATTGTGTAACTTTTTTAGTGGGGGGGTCTGTCAAATACTTTTCTCCATGAAGATGTTATTGCTTTTTTTCTGGAATGTTTCACAGTATGGTATTAAACATTTCTATCATCATAGGAACCAAACTAGGCCAGCTTACAGGTCAGATCTGTGGAGAGACAACTTCAATCACAGTCAGAGCACCTGTTTTTCTAGGTATTTTTGAGCTATAAAACCGGTTTAATGTCATACTGTGGAACATTCCAGGCAGAGCAATGACATCTCAATAGAAACAAGCAGATGACGGACCCCCAACCAAAAAGTTACACAGTGCACCTTTAAGTAAAAATGCAGATATAGGACAAAACAATTACAGTAATAGTAAAAGTGCCACATGACAGACTAAAGTACCTATTTAAAATGTTCTCTAAAAGTAAAAAGCACAGGTATATCAGACAGATTTTGAGAACTACATAAAGAATTTGTTCAGCAATAGCAATATGAATAAATGTCCTTTTTTTTCTCTTGTATTTTTTTTGTGTGTATATATTTTTGTTTGCTCAAAACTGAAACTTAGTCAGGATTTTAAAATGAATGTGCTAAAAAATTACATAACCTACCAAATTATATGAAAGGTTAAAGAAAAAATAAATGTAATGGAGTAGCAGATACAAATACCTGCACTCAAATTTAGTGAAGTAAATGTAAAAAATTATCCCCTGTGAAATTTAAGAATAAAATTAAGGCAATACTTAGGTAAATTAAGTATTGCCTTATTTTGTTTTTGTACATACGGTACTTTTTTGTACATTGTAATTGAATACTTTTACTTTTGTACTTTTGTTGCTTTCCATTGCAGAATTTTGGTTATGTAATTCGTAACTGTAATTTGTTAGTCAAACATGTGAATGAAACAAAACACAACTTTAGGTATGTTTTTAGTGAAGTAACAACATTATAATATAGCTTAAGCTCAAAGTCAATTTGCATGACATAAGACTTTTATTTCTGTTGTTTTTTATACTAGAACATTTTATAAGCGTCCACCTTCCTGTTTTAAAAGTCCTATTTTTCTATCACCACAGTCAGGCGGAGGCGTCAAGAGGCCAGCGCTGTGCAGAAGAACGATGCAAATCCTCGGCCTATAGTAAGACTCTACTTCTATGATTCTCTATTGATTTTTGCCTTCATCTGATCTATGCGATACACCCGGGGGCCTTCTCAAATTAACCTCTTTTTCTTTTATTATCTCCCCTCTCCCTCCTGTCATTTTTATGTGTTCGTGTTAAGCCTGAAAACCCACCCGCTAATGTTGGAAGAGATTTAGCCCAAGGTCCCCAGCCTCCTCCTCTGTACCACACCAACCACGTGTACACTCCCCCTGTGCCTGAACGAAATGAAGATGTGCACAGGCAAAATCGGAACACTCAAAATATCTCTGCTCGCCCCCTTCACAATGGGAACCTTCTCACAAATGGCCGCCAACACAATGCCATTCAAAACTCTATTAACCGAACTCCGCACAGTGGCTTCGAAAACCAGGCTTTTGCGCTAGACGAACTTCAAACCGCGCCCCAGCAGCCAATGCACAATCCGGACATTGTCATACAAACTGGAAACGCACAAGTCCGTCTCAACACTTTGCAGCAGGCGGCTCAGCAAGGCAACAATGGACAAATTCCCACCATTCACGTCAATCTCAACTCGCATTCCGGAGACCAGCAAACTCCCATGGAAAGCTCAGGCCCTCCCGTTGCCAGCACGACGGTGGACGAAGCGACGCAAACTCCGCAAAATACGAGACGGGCTGCTAGTACTTTGAGGACCCCCATGCTGGATCGGCATAGAGCTATTCTTCAAGCAGATCCTGGGCAGATTCCAACAGGTTACACGCATTATAATCAGAATAATATCGTTGAGAGAAATTCCAACATAGACATGGAAGTGTACAATCAACGATCAGAACCAAGAGGTAGATCAGATTCTAGGTCTTCTCAACCTGCATCTCGACATCAAGGGGACAGTTATAACAATCGGAATAATATTATTGAGAGAAATTCCAACATAGACATGGAAGTGTACAATCAACGATCAGAACCAAGAGGTAGATCAGATTCTAGGTCTTCCCAGCCTGCATCTCGACATCAACGGGACACTCAATACAATCGGAATAATATCGAAGAGAGAAATTCGCACACGGAAATGTACAATCAGCAATCAGAACCAAGACGTAGAGCAGATTCTAGGTCTTCCCAACCCGCATCGCAACGCCAACAGCCTTGGGACACGCTAAGAGGAACGCCATCCTACCCCAATAATCAAAGAAACCTGTATTCCGATACTACAGACTACACAACTCATCCGCCGCTCCCCCAAGCAAGATCCAGAAGCAGAGAGCGAAATGAGAGGCCGAGAGAGCGGGAGAACAGGAGGCCGAGCAGGGAGAGGGAAGTGGAGAGCCAGCCCCGTTCAGAGAGGAGATCATCGCCGCGGGAGGAGAGGAGAGGGAGGGGGGAGAGCCGTGCCCCCAGGCAAGAAGGCAGCCGCGACAACAGCCCTCGGGCGCTTCCTCTCATGAGCCAGCCCTCCCCCACCGGCCGTTGGCAAAATCAGCCCGACACAAGAGCGCTGGTAGATCCCAATCACCTACCGCAGTCCCAGGCCAGTCAGCAATTCAGGGAGGTCCCACAAACGAGCAACAGAGCACCGCAAGTCAACCAGGCGGCCAATCAGACGCTTCAAAATGTCCGACCGACCGTTCAGATGCCACAAAGCAACCGTCCGGCCAATCAGACGCCACAAAGCAACCATGTGGCCAATCAGATTCCACAAACTCGTCAAACAGAAAGGCCACAATCTCAGCTTACTCAACAAGCCCTCCAAGCCCACACGGAGCGGGCGCAGACATTCCAGAACCGGAGGCAGCAGACGCAAGCCGCCCTGCTCCACCCGGGCCCCCAGGGGACCCGGCCCCCTACGCCCCCGCCGGTCATACCCCTGCAGCAGTTTCAGGCCCTGCCCAAGGAGAGGACCAGGCAGAGGGAGGTCAGACCGCCCGTGAACATGCCCGTAGCACAGAGGCCGCATCACGGGCATCACAGGCAGCATACCGCAGCCATGCCCCAGTCGCACCATCATCATCATCATCAGGGTCATCACCACACCGGGCACAGGCCGACGCAGGCGCAAACATGGCAGGTGAGTGACATGAAGAATGCATTTATGCGTTTTCACATGTTATAATGTTGTTCCCTCATCAAAAACATGCCTGAAGAGGTGTTAGATGGCCTCCATGTATGTTTTAGGCATGTAGCGATCTCTCCCAAGTCCTTTTCAAATAAGATTCTGTCCAATGCTCAGCCCACAAACCTATGTCATCCACGCTTCCACATGGCAATTTTCCACAAATATACAAAAACATGATACAAAATTGTACACCGCAACTTGACAAATGTAATAGTTTCATACACACAGATTGTGTTATGATAGTGCTCTGAAGAGGGAGTGTCTTAACATGGAGAGCAAAGTGAAGTGAGACTCAGAGCATCAAAAACAAAAGTGAAACTAGCATTTTCAAAACAATAAAAGGTAATCTGTTAATCTAAACTGGTTATATGTTAGCAGTTAATATCCCATAGAAGTAAAATTCCTCTTTTTTAATACAATATTTTGCAAACTGTGGTTCGAGCTCATTCAAGATTCTACCGCAGTTCAAATATTTGCTGGATTAGAGTAGAGTGATTCCATATTTTTGTTCTCTTTCGGGCTAGTCCTTATTTAGAACTATCATAGCAATTTTAGACCTGGTTTCACCTTAATTTTGATCTAGAATATTCACATTTTAGAGCTTGTGGTACCACTCATTTAATATAATTTAGTAATGATATGTTAGGGTTGGGTACTATTTAAAGGTGCATTATGTAAGTTTTTGGTTGGAGGTCTGTCACCTACTTGTTTCTATAGATATGTCACAGCTCTGCCTGGAATGTACCACAGTATGACATTAAACTCCTTACATTTATTCAATTACATTTGGTTTTATAGCTCAAAAATACTTAGAAAAACAGGTCTTCTGACTGTGTGCAGGGGTTGCCTCTCCACAGCTCTGACCTGTAGCATCGTCTGGTTTGGTCTCCATGAAGATAGAAAGATTTAATACCATACTGTGCAACATTCTAGACAAATCAATGACATCTCCATGGAGAAAAGTATTTGACGGGCACTCTACCGGAAAAGTTGCACAATACAGCTTTAAGGTACAAGTACAGTGAGGAATGAAAAAGGTTGGGCACTACTGGAACTGAAAACTGCAGCAGAAAGAATAAAATGTTTTTGTTTAATAATATCTTTTGATGCCAAGGGTCCACAGAGAGCACAATAAAAAAGTTAAAGGCAGTGTCACCATAAATCAACAATAAAAATAACCACTTCCCCCCCAAAATAAAACTGAAATTTATGACCGTTCTAGGTTTGTTTTATCATTTCACAGATGATTATTAATACAGGAAAAGTACAGTTTAGGAACAGGTACGGGAAAAGAAATATTGTGCAAGTACTCAACCCAAAACATACTACACAGGTCTCCATAAACAGTTGATAGTCATGGTCAGTTAAATACAATCAATTCAATCATTGTGTCCATTGTGTGCAAGACACACTGCCTAGTATGAAAGTGGTGTGTGTGTGTGTGTGTGTGTGTGTGTGTGTGTGTGTGTGTGTGTGTGTGTGTGTGTGTGTGTGTGTGTGTGTGTGTGTGTGTGTGTGTGTGTGTGTGTGTGTGAGTGATGGCGGTGGTCGGAGGGACCGATGGCGCAGAGTGGCATGGCAGCCGCTCTTCTGTCAGTGTGCCCCAGGGCAGCTGTGGCTACAATAGTAGCTTACCATCTCCAGGGTATAGAGTGAATGAATAATGCTGTATGAATGAATGCTGAATGAATAATGCTGAATAAAGTGTAAAGCGTCTTTGGGGACAGAAAATGTCTGTGAAAGCACTATATAAATAAAGACTTACTTACTTACTTACTTACTTACTTACTTACTTACTTACTTACTGGGACAAAAAAATCTCAGCACATGAATGTGTGTACTCCTTCACTCAAATCGGTCCCATTGCAAAGAAAGGTCGTATTATGTATAATACAGTTTTTAGAGTGAATCTTTATTTATAATGATTTTTACTTGAGAATTTCCACAAGGAGCATGTTCTGGGAATTGTTGACTGTGCTTCCTCTAGCACATTCTTGAAAAATGATTACAAAAACTAGGTCTCCACAACAAATTGAATAACTCAAGGATTATTTAACCATTGTCCTCTATTATCTACTGCTATTATTACGTTGTTAGTACTTATGCTCCATAAGTACTATTATACTACTAGTCTTTACGCAAGTGTGTGTTTTCTGTTTGAGAGAAGAACTTGGCCTACAATAAGCAGGGTTTGTGTGTTAAAGGTTCTGTATTACACAAATTTGACTCTTGTGACTCTTGTCTTCTTACCTCCTCAAAAACATACCTGGAGTTGTGTTTGGTTTCATTCGCACCTGTTTGGGTAAACCTGCATTATAAGTCTCCAAACATGTCCAAACTTCAAAATGCTCTTTTCCACCTTGTGAATTCATGAAGCAGTAGCATTCAAGTTAACTGTAGAGGTTGGCAATTCCAGGGCTGAAATTCATCCAAAGATTCAAGTGAAGGTATATGGAGTTTAAAAACACAATAGAGCACTTCCTGTATTGCCATATGACATCACAAGGTGGAGTGTTTTCTGTTGGAGAGAAGAACTATAATATGCAGGGTTTGTGTGTTAAACGTGTGAATGAAACAAAACACAACCAAAACTTCTCATTGTTTCTCATCAAAACTATGTTTTTGATGAGGAACAACATTAAAACATAGATTGTAAAATAGTGCAACATGTGCCTTTTAAGCTACTAAAGCAGAGAAGTGAACCTATCTTTGTTACTGAATACAATACAACTCAAGAATTACATTGTTACTGGACCATAATTTTACAATCTTGTAACCATTATCAGTCTTGTATAATTTTTTATTTTTCCTTCTCCCAGGCCCAATTATGACTCAGCTTGCTTTTTATAATATGCAAATTTTAACTAAAATACCTATGTTTCATGTTGTATTTCTAAAGTGTTAAATTTGAGCTGCAGGATTAGTCGCAAATCAAACTGAAGTTTGAATAGTCCAAATTATAAATTCACAAAAGCTACAATTACTTGTAATTTCCTTTTTATAGACGCCAATTCCTGTTTCTCAATGGGATCCTTAGAAACCTGCCAACTCTTTCGTTTATACTTCTACAAACATGTTCTGAACTGCTTGTGATTCATGTATTATTTTAGCCCTTAAACTAAAGACACGATTCATTCATATTAGACATAGACATGAGGGGTGTAACGATATCCAAGTTTCATGATACGATATCATAACGGTATGAACCTCACAGTACGATATTTGTTGCAATATTGTGGAAAAGTTCACAAAATGGTGAGGAGGCTCACGATTAGGGATGTAACAATATCCAAATTTCTTACGACATTTACATATTTTCACGATATACATCTCATGGTACAATATTTATTGCGATATTTTGTGGAGGCAAACAAAATTGTGAATAAAATGCCTTGACAAGACTTAATCCAAAGAACTAAGACTTAAGTGTTTAGAACTGTTATTTCTTCATGTAGTCTACGCTGAAATGGAGCAAAAGATCATGATCTATGTAGTTCTCTCTGTCCTATTTTTTTAGCTATTGCTGCACCATAACTCTTAATTTAAACAAAGGACATTTTGAATGTCCATGATATTATTGTGAGAACTTTGACGACACGATATCACGATATTTCGGTTATTTTTACATCTCTAATAGACATACCTCACCTTAGACATACCTGGAGTTATGTTCAGTTTGCTTTGTTTCATTCACACATGTTTAACACACAAAACCTGCATATTTAGGCTTCGTCTCTCAAACTGAAACACTCTGTTCCTCCTTGTGATGTCATGGCGGTAATACAGGAAGTGCTCCACTGTGTTTTTAAACTCCATGAGAACGCATCCACTTCAGCCCTGGAATTGCCAATCTCTACTGAAATAAATGTAGCTGTTAACTTGAAAACTCCCACTACATGACATCACAAGGTGGCACAGAGCATTTTAAGATGTAGAAAGACTAATAATGCAGAATTCCTGAAAAGTGTCAACAAAATAAAACACAACTCCAGGTATGTTTTTGAGGAGGTAAGGACATTCTAACATGACTTAAAGCTCATAATCAGTTTTGCTTAATATCGGACCTTTAATATTATAAAATAAATCTCATATCTCATCAGAACATTGTTATCAAATTTGCAGTTAGGTATTTTTATTTTATTTATCATTATTTATCCTTTGAAACCCCTTATAGCTTTGAATCACCCTTCTCCATTTCAATATGCATCTAACATACACTTTGATATTTCCATTCTAGACTCACGACAGGCTTCAGATGTGCACTTAATTCTGTCACATCCACCTTCTCATGCCTCCACACAGGTGCCCCGACTCCTTTTATACGCACCTCCCTGACAGCTACATCTAACTCACGGTTGTCTCTTTGACTGACAGTTGCCACGGTAAACATACACTTAGTCCTCGGTGTTTGTGGCAGTTATAAAAGTAAAGGATAGCGGCGTACATCAGGCATTTGTCCTCTTCTCCTTTTTTTTTTTTTTTTTCTTCTTTGTTTTTTCCTTCTGACATGTTGGAAGTGACGGGTTGTGTTGTATTGTCTCCCGTAGCAACAGGCGCACAGGGGGAGGCCACGGTGACAACGCTGGCGAGCTACACCAATGTCCCCCAAGACCGATGTTACAAACGAACAGCGGAGAGACATGATCCAATATGGCGGCAGCGAGGAGAGGGGGCTGTCAGACGCGGGCCTGTCGAGAACAAGGATGAGAAGAGCAAACAAAACGGCAGAGAAAGAATGAAGACTGAAATTTGTGTCTCCTATGGGGATGATGAAATAACGGAGAGAGGACGATGAAAAGATGCTGTTGTCAAGTGAAACAACGTGAGCACTTTTTGTTATTCTGTGACAGATTCTGTGATAATGTGTGTTTTGGAGAGAGGGACGAGGTAAACTAAAGCAATTTTGGGGAACCTTTTGGCAATCAAGCGTAGTTTAAAACTCCTTATCATTCCTGGGCTCTTTTTCCTAAAATGTCAGACTAAAACGACTAGATTCAAACTGAAGCTGTTTCTGAACCCTTTGGAGCACAGACAAATGCCTGGACTTTTTGTGAAGCTAAGGCTCTGTAGTTTGGGCCTATGCTTTCTGATCTACTGCAATTTTAAGTGGGAACAAGCTCTACACAGAGGAATGTGAGATTTCAAATTACGCCTGAATTATTTGGGGTAAATACTAGGGATGTAACAATATCCAAATCTCACGGTACAGTCTTTATTACGATATTTTGTGGAGGCTTACAAAATTGTGAATATGCTACTTTTTCCTCTTAAAATGCCTTGACAAGACTTAATTCAGAAAGTGTTTAGTCTTTATGTAGTTGGCACCAAAATCAGAGCAAATGATCATGGTTGATGTCATTCCCTCGTTTTTTTTTTTTTTTTTTTAGCTATTGCTGCACCATATGAGTGAATTTAAGCAAAGAAACTTGTGATTCAATACATTGTGATGGTCCACGATATTATTGAGAGACTTTTGACGATACGACATCACAATATTTTGGTTATTGTTACACTCCTAGTAAATACAGATTCAAAGCACAGTTATGTAAATATCTATTTTTCTTTTATAGAGAAGCATTTTATGGAGATAAATTCTTCCCTGATTGTGGGAAAGATAGACTTGAGTGGGCAGAGTTGGGTTTTAGTTTTTATTCTTCCTCGATTGATCCGCTGTCTGTGTGCACAGGTATAGCTGTTGTCCCTGGGGATGATCTGACAGCAGATTGAGCGTTTGTTGGATCTTGACAATTTCTATGTCAAAGCTGAAGCATATCTCACTAAACATGAGATTTAAGGACTTGTAATGAGGAAAAAACATAAATTTGTGGTACAAACTGGTCCAGACTCTTCTCAGAACGGTTGATTGACTTGAAAATAAGTGGGTTACAGATTTCCATTAATGTTTTATACATCCGTGAGATTGATCGTTCCCTTTTATTAGAAGGTGGACAAAAAAAAGTACAAGGACCCACACATGGTGTCTTGGAATGATAAGGGGTTCTAAAGGTTTTCTAGTGGAGGGTCTGCCATTTGCTTTACCGAGGTCAGACATGTCAAACTCAGGCCCGGGGCCAAATTTGGCCCACGCTATAATTATATTTGGCCCGCAAGATCATATACAATACGTATTAGAACTGCCCGCCGGCTACAGAGAGACATTATTTATTTAAAATGTTGTTATTTTATATTATGCTTGTTCTGGGTTAAATTTTTAAGCAAAACTATTATTAAACATTTATTTTAATAAGAAAAGTTTTAACATTACATATCTCAAAAGAAGAGAAAACATGCAGATGTTGTTGAAATGTTTGAATAAATATTTAGTTTGGCCCACGACTTAGTCCCAGTTTTTAGTTTTGGCAATTGTGAATTTGAGTTTGACACCCATGAACTAGCTCCTAGAAAGTTCCACAGTATGGCAACACTGCTAACAGTAAGTATACATGTTTTTCAAGATATTTTTAAGCAATATAAACACATGTAACTGAACTAATACAAAACTGATATGTTTAATGCCGTACTCTGGAACATTCCAGACAAAGCAATAATATCTCCATTGAGATAAGCAGGTAGCAGACCCCCACCACAATATTTTGAATTAACAGTGAGACTCAAAGCCACTCCATATTTACTAAAAAAAAAAAAATACAATTGGGTAATGTATTCTAAAAAGTTTTTGCTGAAGTTTAGACATTCATGTTTTATACAGATTGTCAGTTTATTGCCAAGATACTGCCTTCTCTCAACACAAAGACTTTTATCATTAATAATGTGCTTTTATACACTGTGCGCAAAGAGCAAAGATAAGTAAGCATCGTGGGCTGACTGCTTCTATTCAGATTTGTTGCATAATGTAAAAATGGTGCCAAATACTGTTTACGAATGAAGAGGACATGTTTACTATATTTGTATAAATCTGTTTGATATAATAATGTAGGGCTGTAGTTCTTGGTTGACTAAAGCAAGCAAATATTGCCTGTTGATCAATTATTCAACCAAAAGGGGTCCCAAATTGATTAAATATCTCTATAATCTGACCATGTATCAGACCAAAACTGCACTCATAAGTCTGCAACTACACAAGAGTTCATGTCCAAACTATTAATGGAGAAAAGCACTAGGGAAAAAATACAGATTAAACTCATGATTCACTTGTTAAGCTGGTTCACTATCAATGGTGAAGTAAAAGTAGTCAAGTACTGTTCTGTAAAAAATGTAGGTATCTGTACTTTACTGTACATTTTAAAGTTGATACCTTTTACTTTTACTTCACAATATGTGAGAGCAGAGACTTTCTACTTCACTTTATTTTTGAACAAATAAAAACAGATTGGAAAAAATCTATTCATTTGTTTCTTTTGAACTAAAAATTCTGCACAAATCTTGACCAAAACCACTAAATTTGAAGGTTTAAGATCTAAAAACCTGCATGAAATACTTTGACTTTTTACCATTTTGTACATTTTTAAACTGGCACTTTAATATGTAAATTTTTGCATGTGATACTTTTATTTTTACTTGAGCTTTTTTTTTTTTTGCTCTATTATCTGCACTTTTACTTAAGTAGTAAAATCCAGTACTTTTTCCACCACTGCACACTACATCCCTTGCTGTTGCTGCTTTTGTCCAATATAAATTCCTTAAAATCTAAATAAAATAATGATTCCACTTATAAATATTTTGGTCAACTAAGAAACTATGAACCGAATTCAGTGGCTTCATCTACTAAAGGACTACAGCCCTAATAACATGATGCATTTTGTAAACGTAACCTGCCATGCAATTTTTGACCAAAGACAACATTATGCCTCCTCCAAATGGTTTTCTTGTAAGATCTTGTATGTTTTTGTAAAGTGTATTATTTTAAATGTTTGTAATGCTTTTTACAACTATTCTATGAGCATTATTACTTGAAAAAACCTTACAAAGACGAGCTGATTTGGAGCCGTATTCTGTCTCCCTGATTTCAGAGGGTGTGATTGACAGGTGGATTAACCAATCAGAGAGACATTTAATCCGTTTGTGTCAAAAACAAACGCGGCGGTTTATACATAAAAAGGAGAAAATTCTACATAAATGACTGAGAAACTGCACAGATTTTTACATAATTAACAATCAAAGCACCAAACTATTATTTATCTCAGGTAAAAGGCATTATATATTTTATTCTGAATGATACGATAATTTTGGAGAGTAGATGTCTTCCACATTTGAGAGACACGTGCTACAAATGAGCAGCTGGTTGGATCATCTCAGTTTTGGCCAGAGGATTTTCACGCTCTATTGTCCGATTACAGACCCTTCTGGATTCAAACAGAATATAGAAGGAACTGGTTGGTCAGGCAGTTAGTCTTATATACTGTTTCCTTATGTTCAACGTGTACAACAATCCAAACTGAGGCAGCTGCTATGTGGAAATTCTCAACTATCCTTCAGTCCATTCTACATTCAATTAAAATCCAAAAGGGACTGGGACAATAGAGCGTGACAAAACCTCCCTCCAAACATCTCCTTTTGAAAATTCTTGTATAATTCAGAACCAATTGTATAACTTCTTTTACCAAGGGTGACCAGATTTTCAAAACACATCTGGGTTGGGATGGTTCTTACAAATAAAATAGTGAAAAGAGCTTGTAACATTGTGCATTCTCATGTCAGTCATAATCTGAGGGACTTCTGTCTCTGCATTTTTTTTTTTTTTTTGCTTTATGGTCATTTGCAAACACATATTTCTATATTTTGGCTAAACAAATGACATTTTACGCTCCTCTTTACTGTTGACAGGGATCAGATTAGTCAAAAAATTGTGATAGTCCTGTTTTAGTCGGGGTTTAATCTTAGTTTAATCTTGGTTTAGATCAAATTGGTCCAAAATAGAAACACTTGGGACATTTCTTGTGTAAAACTAGGACAAATCATTGGTTTTAAATCTGAAGGGACAGGAGACACAGAGCTCAAAACTGGGACTGTCTTGGGTAAATAGGGAGGTCTGGTCACCCTACCTGAGATAAGTAATAGTTTGGTGCTTCAATTGTTGATTCTGCAAAAAAAATCATGCTGTTTCCCAGTCTTTTATGTTATTTTTTTCTCCCTTTTTAACTGTTAACCTCCATACACAAACTGACCATGCCTCTCTCTGATTGGCTAATCTGCCTTTCAATCACACCCTCTGGTATCAGGGCGATTGGATACAGCTCCAGATCCTCTCATCTTTGTAAAGTTTCGTCAAAGTCCATGCTTCTGTTTGGTTGGGTAACTTTTTCCCCTATACTGAATTATACACTGTAGTCTTTGTCATAAGTGTAAATAAGCCATGAAAATATTTTCCTGTATGATGCCTATTGTGTATTTATCATTTTCTTTAGACTTCTTCATAACAAAGATAAACCGCTACCACTGCCACTACCAGGGCCCCTTACCATAAATCCCCGCACTCCACACACCTGCTTCCAAAGTTTTGACTGAAACTGAGAAATTTGGCTGGAAAACTCCATATTTTCTTGTTACTGTGGCGCTCTCTTCCTGAACTGCAGTATATTTAAATGTATGGACCGCTGCCTCGTGAGCTATAACTCATATAAGATTCCTGTTTGCTGGGAGCCGGGTCCAGTGATCCATGGCCTGCTGCTACTTCTCCTCCAATTCATCATCCCCCTCTCGCGCCTTCTCCACGTCCTTGATGTTTTAAACTAATATCTTTACTGCTCACCAGAATGGTAACAGACAGAAAACAAGGCAGCGCCCCCTATGGGCTTGTGTCAATTATGTAAGAATGAATTAGGATTTGGAAAGCTTTGTTAGTAAGGGTTAGATTATTTTGAAAGCATAGTTACAGGTTTTAATGTTTGTCAGACAGCACTGAAGTAAGAAATATTGCAGTTTTGTGAAATAGTCTCTGTTTTTCTTTTTCCTATCTTGCTAAGAATTAATCAAAAGTACAAAATTTGAAATAGAACTAAGCCAAAATCTACATTTATTCCCATTCTTATGTTCTTTATGAAACTTTTCTGGTGGAAGGTCTGCTATACCGGAAGGACATTTTCTATAATTTTTTTCCGTAGACTTTTCCAAAAACTTAAAATATTAAAAAATTTGTAGAGACATTCCAGAGGCTAACCAGCTACATTAACTAATATCCATAACTCAGCTGCTTGAAGCTCAATAAGCACATTTTAAACTTAACAATTTGGTGAAATGTTTTAAGAACTTTGCAGTTTATAATGTTTCAGAAACTGATTTTAAATACAATAAACAGTCTTGCGCTCATTAGTTAGCCTGATTCATCACAGCATGAGGATTCGTTCGCTCGACAGTAGGCGGGTACTTTTTTATTTAACCAGTCGCTGCTATTTGGTCGTGACGTGTGTAAAGCTTTTCCCAAATCCCGTATAGGGCAATAATGCTGTTCCCCTTGATAAAATTCACCAAACATTCTTTTTGTTCTGGCTTTAAATCCTCGATCTTGGGAATCGTTGCCAACACAGAATGTATGTCTTCTTCTACATCCATCTTGACCACTTTGATTTACTGTTGTACTGTACCACAAATGGGACAGAGACAGGCGCTTGAGTTTGAATTCATGGCTTCACAGCTCTTCGCTGATTGGCCGGTGCACAGTCTACAACTTCCAGGTTTCTTGCAAACCATTTATTCCGATTCCTGACCTAGTCGCTGGAGAGAAATGAAATTGAAATGAAATTGAGCGGAGGCAGGTGGCACCAGCCTGGCTACTCATTACTGCATAGCTTCTTTTTTTTTTTTTTTTTCAGAAAGTGTTTAAAATGAATGAGAAATGTTGTTCCAGTACTATGAGAGGACGGTCACTGTTCAGTTCCATTGCCGTGGAGAACGTGAAGTTTAATGCTGTACATTGGAACATAAACATACAAAGCTTTTAAATGTTCATAAACACTAGCAGGTGGTGCACTAGGAAATATGTACAGTGCACCTTAATTAAAAAAACAATGAAAATGAATCCTAATTTTTTATCAGTTTATATCAGTTTTGGTTAGGGATCCGTCATCTTCTTGTTTCTATGGAGACTTCATTGCTCTGCCTGCAATGTCCCACAATATGTCATTAAACAGTTCGACTTTACATTTATTCAATTACAGGTGGTTTTATAGCTCAAAAATACCTAGAAAAACAGACGTTCAGGGTTGCCTCTCCACAGATCTGACCTGTAACTTGGTCTGGTTTGGTCTCCATGAAGATAGAAAGGTTTAAAGGTTGTATAGAGGATTTTTTTAAGGGAAGAGAAATACAGCAACAGTCCTTGTGCGCATTCAGAATTACCGTTGAAGTTTCCTGTCTAGAAGTAATTCAGCGATCGACGCGTCAGTTTTTAGACCCTTCGTCTGCTTCGGTCGCGCCATCGCTGGACGAGATCTCCAAGAATCACCTCAGTTTGACTTTGCTCCTTTTCCTCTTCTCTTCTTCTTTCAGCGACCTCAAAAACTGACTTTCTTTTGCGGCGAACCGGTCGTGGATTCTCGTCCGCCGTCGCGACAAACTGTGCGAAATGCGAGGAAGCGACAGTTCGAAAAAGCCTCTAAGAACCGCTGCATAAACCACGAAATCCCAGCGCTCCGACGAGTCAGTTATACTAGGGAGTTTGATTGACAACCTAACAGCCAATAGAAAATGAGGGAGCCTCGTTTTCTATTGGCTGACGTTTATCTGGCCTCATTACGTCCACAGTTGATAGATTTTTTTCTTTTTTTTTTTGGTCATCATAATTACAAAGCTGCTGCATCTCTGTAATGGTATTTTAATCTTTCACTGAAAATTTGAAACAAAAAAAAATCCTCCATACAACCTTTAATATAAAAACACTGAAACATTCCAGGTAACGCAATAACATCTCCATGGAGAAAAGCATTTGACGGACCCTTCACCAGAAAAGTTACACAATGCACCTTTAAAACAGGTAAACGCTATAGTCTATGCCGCTTAAATTTTTCTCTGGGGGTAAAGGGGGCGGGGCTATGGCAAACCAGGAACTATTTGCTTTAGCCCAGTCTGTTTACAATGCCTCTCATGACACTTCTCAATTAGGGGGATTTGCCTCAGTGGAGCCCCGGAGATAAAGCCCGACGCTCTGAAGGGGACGGGGAGCCCAACGGAAAAGGATGGACCGTTCTTAATTAAAGGCTTTTATGAGACTTAAATGAGATGGAAAATAATCACAGCGAGCATGAATGAGGTCAGCACAAAGAGCGTGGCGGGTGCGCTTTCTGCTGAAGAGGCACTGTTAACAATTGACTCATAAAATGTATTGAAATGGCGTCTCGAATAGAATGTCATCATGCTTTTTCAATTTGTTTATTTAAGCTCAGGGATTTTTGACTCTGCGTTTGTTTTACTGGACAAATAAATGGGACTTGTTGTATTGAACTCATTCTTTAAAGTCAATGCAGGATTTTTTTTCTTATGAGTTTTGGATGACACAATACACAATATACAGAAATAAAGAATTATATAGTTTTTCAGA